GCGGAAGGGGGACAAAGAGAGAAAAAGACAGAGTGCAGAGTGAGAAAGAGTGGGGAGGGGGAATGTTGTGTACCTGAAATGTATTAGTCAAGTGTGTAGATTATCAGTGTGTATGTTTGTGTGTGTGTGTGTGTGTGTGTGTGTGTGTGTGTGGGTGTGTGGGTGTGCATGTGTGTGTGTGTGTGTGTTTAAATGTTTTCACATGCATGTATGTATGTATGTGTGTTAGTATATGGTAACTTTTTAATATTGTTTTCTCACAGCATTTGCGGGTATTGCAAAACTTCAACACACTAATGGCCATTGTTGGAGGTTTGACCCACAGTGCTCTGGCACGACTCTCCAAAACCATCTCATGCCTCCCTCCTGAGGCTCAGAAGGTGAGTCCAAATTGGTGACTTATGAAAGGAAGATAAATTGACATTTGAAAAGAATATATATGTGTCATGATACGGTGGAATCAGCGCTCGTCAATTTTTTGGGCATGTTGAGTTATTTGTATTATCTTATAGTTTGTTAATTTGTCTTGCTTTCAATGAAAAAATTAGCCATCTATCTTCAATAGAAGTGGAGATATTCTTGATTAAAGTAGCTGAGGGTTACCAGGTTTCAGAGATGAAATTTGCTAGAAAGTGGCCGCCAAAATTTGGTGACTACCAAAGCTGGAGAGTCTTTGGAAACTGTAAATTTACGTTTTTCGTGCTTTTATTGAAATTTTTGCTGTGAAATCATTACAGGAAATTGATTTTACATATATCTAGACATAAAAGATGTTGAGCCAAAAAATAAAAATTTGAAAAAATTGCCGAATGAGAAGAAAAATGCTGTTTTCTTCGATTTCATTATTTTGACGAGCGCCTGATTTCACCATGGTGGGTCACATATACTCCAATAGATGACACTGCCTATGTGTGTATATGTGTGTGTGTGTGTGTGTGTGTGTATGTGTGTGTGTGTGTGTGTGTGTGTGTGTGTGTGTGTACGTAGTGAAACACCACACCAATGTTCCAGGATCTGGACAATGAAAATTTATCTTATCGTATCTTGTCTTCTCTTGTCTTGTCTTAAAGGAATATAGGAATATAAAGTCACATAGTTGAAATTTGAAAAGAAGATAAAGTCAAGTGGTGACATTTGAAAAAAGGTAAAGCCAGAGGGTTAACATTTGTGAGGCGTGCAAACAAAATGGGTTATCTCTCGCAATCCATAAATCGGTATGTTGGCCAAAAATCGACACTGGGTTAAATTTGCATATTTTAAAAAATGCCATTTTGTTTGAGTATAACATGCCTTTTATCATTTCATATTTATACATTTTAAAAATGTTACCTATTAGCATGATACATTGAGATCTACGTGTATTTTCATAGGGCTCGAATCCGGGAAGTAACTCATTTTGTCATCATGCTTCACATTTGAAAGGTGACAGCAAAGAGCCTTTTTGCTGCACAATAGATGCTAGTCAAGCTCATCGTAAGATGAATTTAACCCTTCCAGCCCCAGCCATTTTTGTGCACTCCCTAATCCCATTCCCAATCAATAAGAGTAAATGAACAAATATTATGAAAATGAAAGTTTAATTAAGTTCGCTAATTTCGAAAAATGCCTCAATTCGGTGCATGTTTGTGTGTACCCCCTGAAACTGAGAATTTACACTCTTGGGACAGCGGGAGGTACAAGCACTGCTGAAAATATACGTGCATGGGGCTGGAAGGGTTTTTAAAAAAACTCGCCACATTTTCATTGTTTAGTTTATTGATTGATGGTGTTTTTTAAAACTAAAATATGTTTCTCTCCTCAGACCTTGATGGACTTAACAGAGCTGTTGTCCTCCAACAACAACTTCAGCAACTACCGCAAGGTTTACCACCAGTGCTGTGGTTTCAAGATCCCCATCTTGTGAGTGGGTGGTTGGCGGGTGCTCTGGTGTGGTTTGCTTCTTCTTTCCTATCAAATATCTATCATCTTTATCTCCCTTCCTTCTTTTTTGTGTTTGTTACTCTCTTGTGACACCTCTAATCTTTGGCACTTATATGACCTTGTTGTGTTGCTAGTTCCGTAAAACACTTACTAAAACTATAAAAAGCTGAGCATGTCTTAGTTTGGGAAATTGTGTGTCATATCTGTAGCAAAGAGTGTTTGTAGAGATGTGATCGACAGAAAATTATTTGTGTGATTGTGTGTGTGTGTGTGTTTGTGGGCATGTGTGCGTTTGTGGGTATAACTGTGATTATGTGTGTGTGTGTGTGTGTGTGTGTGTGTGTGTGTGTGTGAGTGTGTGTTTGTGTGTGAGTGTGAGTGAGTGTGTGTTTGTGTTGCAGAGAGAAGATGATCTGTTTGTACTGAAATCATTTTCTTTCATTGAGAGTAAAAGAATGGTTTCTGTGTGTGTGTGTGTGTGTGTGTGTGTGTGTGTGTGTGTGTGTGTGTGTGTGTGTGTGTGTGTGTGT